TTTCTTTTTATGCAACTTTAACAAGGAACCTATTCAGTGACACTTTTCCTAACTTCTTTTAAGGATTTTGCAGAAATGTAGCATTGCATTGTCCTTTAACAGATTCATTGCTCACACTATTATAGCCTTATTTAGGTGGTGCTTTTCTGCAAAATATTGTGCTGCTTTCCTCATTTTACACAGCTCTCTAATCTCATTTGAAGTGAGGAATTCCTCACATTTTACTCCTCCTCTGCAGATGAGATTTCTGCCATAACCTCTTGGTGGTAGGAGACGATCACCCAGAGTCCCAGAGAGAGAGGAGAGAGAGACAGACAGAGACAGAGACAGAGACAGACAGGGGAAGAGGAGAGAGACAGAGACAGAGACACAGAGAGAGCACTATTGTCTCAGTTATGATCACGTGACATTTGGCGTCATGTACTACTCATATTTCAAGACATCACTCATTTATCAAATTAAAATTTATTAGAAATGTTTGCTCATCTTGTGGAACATTCAGAAAAAGTTCCTAGCATATTATTTTAATCCTGTTATATATTAGATGTGTTATATATTCGAGTATTTTTTAAAAATAGTCATTACTTTCAGTAATATTACCTTAATTTCTATTGCTTTTGGTATCAAACTTAGGAAAGATAACTCTTTTATGCAATTATTTTTTAAAACCAAATTCTTTCAGGGCCAGAGAGTTAGCTCAGTGGTTCTGGCACCTCCCTCATAAGCACAAGGTCCCAAGTTCCATCCCTGGTAAAAAAACAAAAACAAAAAATTCAAAGGATAATTTGTCCATGCCAAAGAGCATATAGTAAAAATAATAATCTAATAGTATATAACCAGGCACCCAGTCCAAGATACAGAACACAGCACCATAAAATTATTCCATGCCCCTTCCTTATTTTGAAAGTAAAATTGTGCAGAACTCTTCTTTTGTACATAGCTTCTTTCCTTCAATATTTTGTTTGTGGGACTTATCTCATGCCATTATAAATAGTTCTTCATTGATTCATGTACTTTATGTTGTTTTGAACTTTCTGGTACAAAATTTTTGATGAATTTAACTACATTTTTCTGTACGATATATATCCCAGGGTGAACTGCTGATTCACAGGGTTTGTGTATTTTCAATGTTAGAAGACTAGATTGTTTTGTTTTTTCTAGTTACTTTCGATAAAGTGGTAGTTCTATTGAATTTCAGTTTTTCTATTTTTTTAGTATATTGACCATACCATGTTACTGTTTTAAAATACACTGTGTATGTTTTTTATTTCTTTTTTCTTATCCTTTTTCCTGTTAACTTCTGATTATATGGTATTTCATAATTTGTTTAGTCTTAGCCCTATATTACAAAATACATTCTTGAATTATATCTGAAACAATTATTTTTTCCTTAATTTCACCACTGCTGAAATATTACAATCTTTTAATTGTATTCATGCTTTTCTCATTTTTTGCAGTTATCATGCACTTTAATTCTACATACATGACAGTCTTCATAAGGCATTACTACTATTGTTTATATAGTCAAAATTAATATATATTAATTCACATGTTTACCCTCTCTTTAATACTTCATGTGTGTAAGCATCATAGCAGTTTCTCTTTAATTATTCTTCCTCTGCCTAAAGAACTGGTTTACTTAGTTTTAATATTTATTTTAGTGAATGTATATTGGTAATAAATTATTTCCATTATTTTACTTTATTTAGTACAAACAACCTTGATGAAAAATGATTAAGTCTCTTCCCCATGGTGAAAAGAACATGAAATACAGGAATTCTTATGTTTTCCCCTATTTTTTAAATTAATTAATTTTATTGGTACAAATTAAGTATATGCATAGCAATCACATTCATCAAAGGGAGTTTGTACCTGTACGAAATATACCTAGGTTCCTCTTTTTGTCCCATTTTCCCTCCCTCCATTCAACTTCCCCTCCCCCCTTATTTATAAAAACTTTGTTTCCATTTTTCATTCTTTTATCAAATTTTCCTTGCCCCTCCCCCTTTCACAGTTTTCCTTTCCTTTTCAATAGTTTCTTCCTTTTCTCTATTTATAGCATCCACTAATTTGTGATTTTTTAAATTAATAAAACACCAGTATTTCTCTGTTTTCTAGAAGTCTTTTTAAAATAAACAATAATCAGTGTTATCACTTAAGTGCCTTTATAACATGTAGTATGGTGATTATACTTTTTTCTTCTTTGACTAATTTGCGTATTGGATATTATTACATTGTGCCACAAATTTAAATAATATTTTTAAAATTTTTTATCCTTAATTGGCGGCTGAAATCCACCCAACTTCTTCTAGAAAGCAGTTTTTACTAGACTTTTTTTTAATCTCCCTACCTGTAATGATCAGCTTTGGGGTTGTTAGTCAAAATAACCTGACACTCACAACTTAAAGGAGGTGAAGTTTATCTGGCTATTGGTTTCAGATGATTCAGTCCACGGTTGGCTGGCACAAAGGGAGAAACATCATGGTGGAAGGAAGCTTCTTAAATCTTGGTAGCAGGGAAACAGTGTGCGGCAAAAGTGCCAGAGAAAAACCAGGGAACACGTGTAGTCTCAAAGATCATGACTCTTCTGACCCACCCAGACACCCCTACAAATGTGGCTTCTAAGCCAATTAACTTAATAATTATGCTTAACCATCACTCTAAAAAAACTTGCTTTGCACATGTCAAGGGTGTTGAGCTATTCAAAATTTCTCTCTTTGCATGAGTCAATATTGTTGTATGGTTATGGAAGATAATTTGCCTGTGAAGTTCCCATTATGTAGATGTTTTTAGGTTTTTCATAGATGAAATATTAGACTTTGGCTTTGAATCAATATGAATTAATTATTCATTTTATTTAATTAAGGTAGAAAATTGGTTATACTGATGAATTTCAAAGATTTTTTAAATATTAAAAGAGGTGATAAATATGTGATCTTAAAGTTTGCATTATTTATATTGAAAGAAGTAAAAGTTAAGAAAATTTGAAATTAAAACTAAATTGAGGAATGTAGAAGATTCACTTTTTTATTTAATTTTGCCATTAAGAAACTACTGCAGTTTTTTCATTTCTATCGTTGACTTTTTATTCCTAATGAATTTTAGGATTTTTATAATTACAGTTTTTTCTGTTCTGTGTATTTATATTTTTAATTTCACCTCATTATTAAAGTTATCTTCTCTCATATTTTATGACATTTTATGTTTTTTCCCTGAGTGAAATTTGAAGTAAAACTACTGTTTTCTAGTGGTTTAGGTAAGATTTTGAAGTGCGGCATGAACAGATTGCAACACTGGGTCCATCATTTATTAACTGTAGGATCTTTGGCCCAAATTCTTTTACATAAAATAATACTACTTATGATTGTTTTGGGGATTCAGTGGAACAAATTGTACATATCCAGTACTTATACTGTGGTAGTCATTCTTCCACGTACTTTTATGATACAACATTTCATCTTTAAAACTATGTAGTGGCCTACATTATCATCCCTTTTTCAAAATAATGAATATATTCAGGCTGAAGTTTTGTCCAACTGCCCAAATTTACACTGAAAGCAAGTGGAAGAGCCAAAATATGAATCTAGTTTGACTCCAGAGCCCATGGCATGCCACTGTTGTCCTTCACATATAAAAATTATATAGTTTGTCTTTGAACACCCATTGAATATGTAATTACTTGTTATCTTCAGCTTAACATAAGTCACATATGACGTTAAATATTTTCATAGTACTACTTCACAGGAAGTTGAATGCTGTAATAACTACACCATCAAATTGTTTAAAATCTAGAAAAAGAAAAGTATTTCACACTAAGATGGTATCACATAGCAAAATTTCATATTCTTTCTGAGTATAAATATCCCTTATTCCTGGGATCTTTTCTGAGATCTCATTCCTCATAGGTGGAGGAGTTGTTACAGTATCGTGACTTCTTTTTAAATTTGAATGGGTAGTTTGCTGATTGTCCCCTGACCTCCGTGCATCAAAATACCCTTGATAAGCTGTGGAACTAGCTTATTCAAAGGAGTTTAATTTGTTAATGATTTGCTGCAAGTATATGGTGAAAAATTTAAGGTGCAGAAAGATAAATGTTCTAATTTCTTTTGAAAATACTAGTTTCTCAGTGACAGAGATTGAAGAGTGTTCAGTATCAGGTGTTTCCCCTTTTGTTCCATTCACCAAACCAACAGCAAGAAAGAGATTCTGTTGGAGTCAAAGTTTCCATTTGCTTCTAGCTGAAAAGAGAACCATGATACCAGAGAGAAGGAAGGGAGGGATACGATTGAATGACATGGGGTGAGACATGCAGCTGGTAGAAGGCAGTAATTGAAGGGCATGTTTATAAATTACACGGTACATTTTATAGCCAAAGCGATATGCTAGAGTGGTATTTATTGATTAAGGGTTTTACATTTTTTTGGAGAGGTGTGATTCATAAAGGTCACATGTCCTCTAAAAAACGACTTAGAAAAATAGAAATATGCTACTTTGTTCTGATTCTCATAGTAAGATGGTGGGATTTGCAAATAATAAACATTATAAAACTTGTGTTAAAGAATTCTGACTTTTGACTCAGTGGAGACAAATTTAATTCCATTTCCTCAATTCTTAGTTTTGTGGTTTATATCAATACAGATTATTGATAATTCTGAAAGTTTGTGCCTAATTTGGGGGGACAATTTTCAGTACTTAAGACAAAATCTATACTAATTAATCCATAAGATAAGAGATTACTAAAGTTAGAAGGAAAACTGATATTTAAATAATATTGAATTTTGGCTGTAAAACCAAAGCAATCTTTTCAGTATGGATTTACCAAAAAAGGATTATCCTGAAGTTTACAGAAAAATTAAGCATAAACTAACTATATGTACTTAAATCACACAGATACACACACAAACACACACACACACACACACACACACACATACAAATACAGGAAACTGATATTTTCTCTTTATTCTAAGAACTCTGGGATTATTCTCTTGTTTTTCCAGGTGGTATTTTTGAATATGTGGAATCTGGCCCAATGGGAGCAGAGGAACTTGCATTCAGATTTGCTGTGAACACTATCAACAGAAACAGAACTTTGTTACCCAACACCACTCTGACCTATGACACCCAGAAGATAAATCTCTATGACAGTTTTGAAGCATCCAAGAAAGGTAATAGATAAATACTTAGCATTCAGATTTCTGGAATTCAGATTTCCAGGTATTCTTAACAGTGTTTGAATTCTTTCACAAAGTTACTAAGTTATTTAGGAATATTTGCAAGCTAAAGTTTCTTTTTGAAATGCACATAAATTTTATCAGAGAAGGTAAAGTGATATAATTATCTCTTGCAAAAAATCTACTTATAACATAAATGCAGTTAAATCTCCAATAGAGATATTGCTTTTTGCTTATTGACCTTCCTGCCTTGTAATTAAACTATAACTATTTTTTAAAAGTATAATAAAAGAGCAAACATTAGAGCATTTTGCTGAGCTTTTCCATTCCTTCTTACACATTAAGTTGCATTATCTCTCAATCTTACTAAATTATTACTGTAGTTTCAATTGATCTGCAACTATTTATATTTAATATGTACTAAAATTGCACTATTCCTTTAGTTACATAACATATGTTGTCACTTCATAATTTTAAATATTTGCCTTGCTGTAATGCTAATATTGTTTTACTAGCTACATTACATTAATGGAAATGTGAATGATTATTTATAATTTTAAGTTGGTGCAGAGTTCTTCTAAGCTTATTAATATTAATGGCAGCTGTTAAAGTGCAATATTGCTCAAGATGAAAGTACCCTGACTTTCCCCCATCAGCTAACTTACTTTTATCAAAGCCATATTCTGCCTGCCCTTTGAATTCATATCTTTATGAATACAAATAAGTTTCCACATTTCATAACCATGTCAAGGTGATGAAAAGTTTGGAAGGCTAAAAAGGTTAAAGTTTACTGCAAAATGCTACCTTTGTCATCATAATTGCAAAATAAGTCATTAATAGCAAGACAAGTGCATTTGATTAGTGGCGTAGTTAATGATTATTTTTATTAGGAAGAAGAAGCTCTGCCTAGTTCTAATGAAAGCATTCAGATTGAAGAATATGGAATGAGTGCAGTATAAATAAAATATTAATAGATTTCTTAATGGCGATTTCATAAAAACACGTTACAATCCAACAACAAACAGGGTATGCCCTGGCAAAATTATGAAGTGATAACATCATCTCATTTCCAAAATGTTTTAAAGAATTTGCAAACGTTGTCACCCTTTAAAAACCCACTGGGAATCATACCCATCAATTGACTTTGGCCTGAAGCTAGAAAAAGCTCAAATAATTGTCTGAGTAATTTTCTTCATGATGTAGGTATTAAAAGGGTCAATGGCATTGGTTTGGATCTTGTAAAGCTTTTATCTGTTGAGCTGTTACTGCTTAGGGAACAGAGAAATATGCAAAAAAAATAATATTAGAGAGAGAACCAATATGGTTTTGGGTACTTATAGGGCTTGAAAATGAATATATTGATAATGATGTCAAGAATTAACTGTAAAATAATATAATTTAACATTTTAAAGTTTTCAATTGTTTTTCTAATGCTAAATAAGAAATTAGATGTTAACTTCTGGCATTTTCTCTGATATTTTATCTCTTTGATACCTTAGGTAATACTGTTTCACACAATTATTTAATAATTTGATGTTTTAGAACTTGAACTATCATTTGAATCATGCATTTTAAATGACTTCTTTGACAACTTACAACCATAAATATTATTTGAAATATGTAAAGATATTCTGAATAGCCAAATACAATTTTTTTTTGCTTGTCTTGGGTTATAATTTCTCAGAGTCTAGTGAAAGTTTGTTTGTTCTTAATATACATGAATTAAAATCTCATGTTGAGTGAGAAATTTCCGGTTCCAGGCTTTCTAGTGATTTGGAATTTCATTCATTATTTAGAAACTAAGGATTTACACATTCAAAATCAATTTATTTAGATCATATTATATTTCTGAAGAAAGGAGAGTAGTGTTTTCAACTAAAAGTTAATTATTGAACACCTCTCTGTTTAAGAACTCATTTATCACATTGTATTTTTTTACAGAAAACACTGAAGGAAAAATGCCAGAAATTTTCACACAGTACAGTCATAAACTATCCATTTTGATTAGCTGAATGTGAATACTCAGTTTATCCCCAAGCCCTAATCACAATCCTCAGTCCCATTTATATGTGAGCAGTGAGGTGAAACTTACACTGGCCTGGGACAAGGAGACCTCAATTCACTCACTGGGTGGTAAGGTTCTTAACTCATGGAACAAGAATTTGAGAATGCATCAGTGTGAGACATAATGCAGATTTATGAGGCAGAGTTAGAAAATAAGGAAGAATAAGAAAAAAACTACAGTTTAAGTAACTGGAGGGTACATACTGCAATGCAGAGATTTAGACTGGCTGGCTCACAAAAGCAGGAGACCAGCTTTTATGGATTAGCTGAGGTAGACCTGAGTTTGGTAGATTAATTTCTACGTTCTGGTTTCTGTAGCTCCAAGAGAATCTTCATTGCTTGAGAGGCAGTTTGGTTCTTATGAGATGATTGTCCTTGCTTGAGACTGGGTCTGTGTCACTTCCTTCACTGGGTAATTGCTTCTCCTTGGAGGAAGCAGTATCATCACGGGATGGTCAGCAAGGCTCTGTTTTTCATGGAAGCTGAGGTGATTATAGCTTTGTAGCCTTCTAGGTGTGATCCAGGAGGGTCGGAAGTAGACATCTGTCAAAGCTGGCTATGGAGCAGCCCTGCAAACTCTGAAAATTATTTTAGTTACTCTTAGCTTGGTGACTTCAGTCTTGAAGGGGGATATCTTTGATTATGCAAGTTTAGAACAAATAGACATTGAACTATATACATCCACTCCCTGAGTGATTAGTATGCCTAGTAAAGAGCTGAGCAGGAATCTGATCCAGATTAAGATAAAAGGAGACAAAAAATCGAGTTTCCTTGTGCCTTTCTACCATTATTTCTTCTATCCTACCTCAAAACCATTTCCTCTTGGGGCAAATTATTTCATTTTTGGACATTTTCTACTTTATTTTAGAATTTGTTAAATTGGGTGAAACTGGGAAGCTTCTAAACATTTATCCTAATTCCTCCTTTGTCTGTCAAATGAAACAAATATAAGCTTATGTCATAGACCAGATCTTCAGATATTTAAAGATAATTTTCATGTTTCTAATACTTGTTCATTCCCTAGCCCAAACTTAATATTTGCTTTAGAGCTCCTCTATAGAATTTCAAGTCCTGACACAAATCTGTTTTAATCTGAATACCTTCTAGGTGGTTTGTATCTCTCTTAATTGCTATAATTATTAGACATAAGAGTAAAATTTCCTTTAGTACATGCTAATTTTTTTAAAAACATCATAATAACATAAAAGATATATAACATCCAAAGACCAACTATAAAGATAATTGAATACTTATCTAATGATATTGGTGGTTTTTCTCCTCAAAGATATTAATCTATATGAAAACACCCTCTAAGTGTAATACCAAGTTTTGCATGTATTTGTACATATATCAAACCCATGTCATCAGCTGTGTGTAATCTTTAGTTTTGCTTAGCCATATCTAATTGTATAGGAAGGAGGGACCAAATAGCTTTTGATTATGAATTTGAAATTGTAAAGATAACCAGTGAATTTAAGAAGCAACACTATTCTTCCATCTCACTGATAAACATTTTCTTGAATGAACACTTCCTTCAGTTAAAAAAATTCCTTTGCTTTCTCTTTTCCTTTCTCTCTACCTTGACATCAATTACAGAATTATCTGACATTAAAACACAAGCAATTTGGTGAATGAATTCTGTAACAAATGAAAATAAATGTTCAGTGTGAGACAAAATGCAAAATTAATAATATGCAGGTCTTATATTTTTTAAAAAAAATGTTTATTCAGGATGATGCCTTTGGGTTTTAGTAATGATGTGGTACCTGTTGTCACTCTGGCATCTCTCGCTGCATTGCTAACAGACTTTTCTCTCCTCTGCAGCCTGTGATCAGCTGTCTCTTGGGGTGGCTGCCATCTTTGGGCCTTCACACAGCTCTTCAGCAAACGCAGTTCAGTCCATCTGCAATGCTCTGGGCGTCCCCCACATACAGACCCGCTGGAAGCACCAGGTGTCAGACAACAAAGACTCCTTCTATGTCAGTCTCTACCCAGACTTCTCTTCACTCAGCCGTGCTATCCTAGACCTGGTGCAGTTTTTCAAGTGGAAAACCGTCACAGTTGTGTATGATGACAGCACTGGTAAGAGTAATCAGTAGCCATTGGGTTTAAGTATACAACACTTTCTGGACCCCATTCCAGGTTTCCAGATGACTACTGAATTCTTTTATTTTTCTGTAAATATTTTGTTTGTTTGATAGTTTGTTTTAAAATTAAAATAAAGAATGGGAAGAGGTTTGGAACCAAATGCTGACCTTAATTTCATACATCCAAACATGTAGCTAAATCACATAGTTTTCTCTGTATTTGTAAAACAAGTACTTTTCTTTCTGTGAAGGATCAGCTAGTTTGAACTATGAATTGGGCAAATGGTAGCAACAGTACAAATATAATATTGAAATATTTATTCAAATAATTTACTTCTGGGTTAAGGGTAGTTTCCCACAGCAGTGCTTCATGACTGGTTGTCAGTGAATTTAGTCAAGAAACTCACAATTTAGTCATCACATTTTGTCTGTCTCTTTATAAGAAAATAATGCATATGAAAAATAATAAATTTTATATCTGTAAGGCATGTTGAGGTTTAAAAGATTAGTTTTTTCAAATGTGGAACAATATAAAACCCATTCAAATACTCAAGTTTTAGAAATGTTTTTGTGTAGATACCATTTATGGACTTAGAAAATATCATTTATTAAGTAGTACTTATTTCAATGTCTTAAAAGAATATTTTAAATATTTTGGTTCTCTATGCTTTCTCATTTAAAGGTATCCTGTTATTTTTGAATATAAACGATACCTTTAATTATTAGTCACAAACAATACTCAGAGAAATAAAAGAAAGTAAACAATAAAAATAAATTTACAATGTTTGTTGAAAGTTATATTGGTGAAGGAACTATTCTGGTTACTATAGAGTGATAATTGATTTCACTTCAAACTATTTTCAATAGGCTAGCACTGTTTAAATTAGAATGTAAAACATTTTATTTTAGGCACTTCATATTTACATTCAGGCGAAAATACATTTGAATTTAAATTGTTCCTAAGTATGCCAGGAACATACTTCTTTGACACAGGCAGTATATAGAGCCCTATGCAGAAAAGTATCCATTTACTAATAAAATTAATCACTAGAAACAGATAGATAAGAACTCTGCTAAGGAAGCAGCAACTTACATGGTTAAAGAAAACAATGAAGATGATTATTTTAAATGTTTTAATTGGGATAAGAGTGAGTCTATCAAGGTCCCGAGTTCGATCCCCAGTACCTAAAAAAAAAAAAAAAATGAGTCTATATGGAAATTAGTAATTATATTTTTTGTTATTGAAAACATTGAAATAGTTTTGAATAAATTTAACTTATAATGTTATCAGCAAATGTTCTTAAATAACCTCAGTATCTCTGATGCATCTTTTAGCTCAGTTTTGGCCTATTAAGTTTATTGTAGCATGTTTTAGTCCCATGTCACTACATTTTTGTCAATGGTAAAGTTCTATATGTCGAGTTTTGAAGGACAGCATATATATGAATGGTTTCTCTGGACTTGTATAATGTGTAGTGATTGAGAGCATCCTTGGTTACAAGCTTGTCCATTTATGCTTATGAATGGTCCTACACAGAAACATAAAAAAATGGATATGCATATATTGTGAATCCATAGGTTACTTCTCCATTCTCTCCTAATATAATTCAAATCTCTGCTTTCTAAGTACCATGTATTCTCATATGTGCATGCACATTTTATTTATAAACACACATATACATGTGCATATAATGTACATGTGATATTTGTAACTATTTGTTATTAAAACTCCTCATAGTAGGAAGAAAAGTGGCAAAAGTTGAGAATATGTATGGATGTAGGATTAATTGCCTTTTTAGAATATTTTGTGTGTTGTGTGTGCCTTTTTTTTTTCCATGCTAGGGATTGAACCCAGGGCTTTCTCATGAAACTACAACTCTAGCTCCTTCCCCCTTCTTTTTTGAGCCAATGTCTCCTTAGGTCATTAATTGGCTAGTCTAGGCTCCAATTTGTGATCCTTCTTCATCAGCTTCTCGGGGTGCTGAGATTATAGGCACTCACTACAGTACCCAGCATGTGTGTCATTTTTATCTCATATGTTGGATCTTGAGTGTTTGAATTTATAATAGGATATGTAATCACTCATATCAAACTTAGATAAAGTAAAGCTTCACATACAATTGATTTTTCCCTGTTCTAAGTTATATTTAAACTTTTATGTCATTGAAGGAAATGTAAACAGAGAAAATGTATACACTAAATTACTGTTACATACTTTAGTGGAATCTTCACCTCAGGATTAAATTTATTGAAATAGTTTAAGTTATTATTTAAAAGAACTTCACCACTACAATTGCTTTGAAGGTGACATAGATATTTGGAGATTTCAACAGTTTTTGATTAGTTAATTATTAATGTTAATTTAGTCATTACTGAATTATTTGTAATAATAAGTGTACCTTGAAAATTCTCCAGGAGAAAAATTTATTAATGTTGCATTTTATGCAACATTTAATTCAACAAATATTGATTAAACACTTACTACATGCCCTTGTTTAGCTTCTAATCCACATTTGAGGACATGTGATTATTCATGTTCTTATAATTACTCTTAATGAGTTAATTGCATTTGTAACCAGTCATTTGTTGTCTCTTTTAATTTAAAACACTTTAAGAACTTGAGTGTTCTTGATTATTTTACATGATAGAATCCACAGAGCAGGCAGAAGAGGCCCTTTGAAATGCATTAATAAATATACAAAACAGACTTTGTCTTTTGGTTTATATTTAAAAATTTCAAGGAGAAACTTTAATGATAGAATTCAAAAAATTTGTACATTTCACAAGTAAACAAGATTACTATTGGATGTTGTGGAGGAAATTGGATTATAGTTAGGACTGTGCAGTAAAATGAGTACTTTCCCTTACCCCACAAGATAAACATTGTTGACTCTATTATGGACTTGTGTATCCACTTTTTACTGCAGGACACACATATGCCATTTTATTTACATGTCTCATTTTTCCTTTTTCAGATTTATTTATTATGTATACTATTCTTCCCAATTGTATTCATTTCAGTATTATTGTGTTATCCAGTTTTGATACATGATAATTACACTTTCATCCAGTCTTTGTCCCTATCCCCAAAATAAATGGTATGATAGATAAAATTTAGTGCTGGAATAGGAGAAATTCTTAGAATGATGTTAACAGGAGCTATTTATTTTTTATGATAATTAGCATTTGTTGTTGTCATGGATGAATGCATTTAAACACCATGGAAGTCTGTTATAGCTCTGAACGATGTCCAAAAATGATGGAGAAGAATTGGCTTCAGAAACAAAGCTGTGTTTCTGTCAGTCATTTCAGAACATATGATTCATTTTAAATATAAACGAAAAATAAGCTGGATAGCTGTCAGGTTGTAAGCAATTCCAGAATAAATTGTGAATATTTGCTTTGAAATCCCTGCATTTCATCTTTGTTTATAGATCAGCAGCCCATTAAAACAGAACTCTGGGCTGGTAAGCAGAAGCCTGGGATTGTATTCCCAGTTTTGCTGCTAAATCACTGGAACAACTTTGAAAAAGAGAAGGAAACAGAAATAACTGCAAAAATGAGCTATAATGCATTAGGCATTGTGGTATTTGCTGTCACATGAATTATTCCACTTAATCTTCAAAGTGGTCCTCTGAGTCTCAGAGGAAACAGGTAATCATCCCATCATGCCTGCTTCCTCCTGTGACTGGTTCTCCTGCCCAAAAGTAATCTAAGACAGAGCATAAACATGAACATCATCCTCGATACCTTCCTGACTTGGGCTCCATAGTCAGGCTGTAATGGTTGTCAATTCTGCACCTCTTTGAGCTCTCAAATCTGTTTAATTCTTCTGTCAAAAACAGTACCATCTCTTGTGTTAAATTTTACTAACAGCCTCCTATCTGGACTCTGTTTAAATTCCACATCTTGATAATTCAGTCTCTGCACATCATTCAGCCATTATTTTAAAAATGCAGTTCTGATCTACTCCTCCTTTACTAGCTCTCATTGCTCTAAAATTAAAGTCAAAATTTTTTAAGAAGCCTGATAAGTGATCATGTGCTTGTACCTCACCAAGGACATTTGAGTCCAAACATCTCATTAATTTATTTTAAATTGAACCTTTACACCTCTTTCCATTGTTAAAAATATTATTTTGTTTACCTGGAGAGCTCTCATTTTTGCCCTGCTTCTACCATCCAAAAAATATATAAATATATGTGTGTGCTCTAATACGTATCATCTGCCCTTGATGTCCTAGAGAAACTCTGACTGTTGTTCCTAAGTTTGAAATAGGTCTCCCCACACAGTCCTGTAATACTACAGTCACTCCCACAAGTCTACGTCTGCTCAGGATAGACCCCAAGACTGTCCATTTTATCACCAACACCCAAAATATTGTCTGGCTTGCTGAATCACCTTAAATATTTGAGGAATAAAGATTGGAAGAAGGTTTTAGACAAGAAAACTTGAGTGAGTTCAGTCATTTGCCCAAGGTAAAGTTCATTTAAATTCTTACCATCAAATAGAGGTCAACAATATTTTTCATGTAAGTGCACATAATTTTTTATGATTTCAAAAGTTTTATTTAAAAAAACTAGGGTGAATTATGTTTATGCCCATTTTCAATTAGAACTAAACATGCATTTGTTTATTTGAATAATCATTCAGCAGCCTTCTTCTGTGTAGCAGGGGCTGCTTTAGGCAGAAGGGACAAGATTATGGAAAAGAAGCTTTAACTACCTGCATGAGCGAAGGGTAGAGTGAGCCATGACAGTGACATCATCACAGCACTACTGCAGTAGAACAAGAGCAGAAAGAAAACTGTATCGTGGCAGTGCAGGAGTGGAAGGGCTTGGAACTACCTGGAAAGGATAGAGGAATTTTGGAGTGACATTATTGTGAAATTGCCATAAAGGATATGTAGAAAGCTTTCACTGGAGCAGAAGCTGAAGGTAGCAACATGAATTTGCTGAAGGAGCCAGTTTGTGAGAGAATTACAAGCTTTTCGCC